CACAATTTTTTTTTTTTTTAAAATTAAAAAAATACTCAAATCTAGAAATACAAAAAATTTTTTATGGATGTTAACTTTTTTTCTATATGCCATTAAATTATGATACTGAAATTAGCAGACATCTAACAATTGTTTGAATTTTAAAAACCAATCAATTATTATAAATTACAATTAGTTTCAAATTTCTACATGTGGAATTTTTTTACAAATTAAATTAAAATATATATTATGTTTATAGATCTTAAATCATTTAATTATTTATAATGCTAAAATTAGCCGACGTTTTTAATTTTTTGATTATTTTTCAATTATTAAATTAGAACTATAAAATAATTTTTTTTTTTAAATTGCCCTGATAGTTTTTGAAGTTTTTTACAAATGAAAATTTTTTTTTACTTTTTTGAAATAATTTTTTCAATAAAAAAAAATTATTGAAAATTTTTATATCTTATATTATTTATATCTTATTTTATGATGATAATAAAATATAAAGTAGCAATGCTAATGTAACCAAGTTCAGTTTCAAAACCACCAGGCCGTAATATACTTAGAATAAATATAAACAAATAAAAATTCACTTTTTCTTCTTTAATTTTCTTATTTTACTTACCATAAATTATCTTCATTTCAGTTTATTATTACTTCGTTTCATATATCTGCATAGTTGTATTTAATTAAGTTTAAAATATACAGTGTTGCCAACATTACAGAAATTGTCCAACTTCATAGTGGTATTTTTTTGGAAAGAGTAAAAAGAGCATGCGCGCAGGTTAAAGTAGTTATTGGGTATACTATACCTATATATATATAACAATAATTAGGTTATTCTCCGTTTCTACGTTTATGTAGTCTGTGTCTAGCTGTCAACTCTGAGAAAGTGTATGAGAGGGTTGGATAATTCTTAGAAAAAGTACTTGTATTGTCAATCATCTCTTAATAATTTTTATATTAATTGTCAAATGGTATTATTCTGAAAATTTTGACACTGTGAAAGAATTTATTGGTCAATCAAATTTTAATTTATCAAATGTGTATAACATGAATACTTTTAAGTAAAAAAAAAAGAGAAATCGGATCGATGTACTCGTAAAATAGAAAAAAAGGTATTCATTATTGGTAAGAATAAACTTTTTCAATAGTTAATTGTGTTTGAAATTTATCTAACCAACTTAATTGCTTACTTACTTTCTTGCAGAAGAAGCAGCTGGGTTGATTATTTGTATGTATTAGTAATTTAATATATTGTGAAAAATCAGGAATATTATAAATTATGGAAGACGATCTTCCGGCCGAATATGATGTCGTTGTGGTGGGAACTGGTATTGATTTTTTTATTACAATTATCATTTTAAAATTTACTATTTTCTTTTAATTTTAATTTTATTTTTGTAAAAATTTTTTTAGGCATGACAGAATCCATTGTCGCTGCTGCTGCCAGTCGTATTGGTAAAAAAGTACTTCATCTGGATAGGTAACATCTATATTTCGATTTTTATGTGAATCGTAACTTTAATATAAATTTGAGTAATTTATTTATTTATATTTTTTTTTTGTTATAGTAATGAATACTATGGAGGATTGTGGGCTACATTCAATTTTGATGGATTGCAAAAATGGATGGAAGACTTGAAAACTCTTAAAGATACCAGTAGTGATGTTAACATAAGTCTTAAAGATGTTGAAAAATTTTTAAGAGCAAGTAACCAATATTCCACCGTTGAAAACATAGAAGAAACTTGGTTCATCTCCAGGTAACTATTAATATATTTATTATATTATTTCTCAAATAAACTAACGAGTGAAGTAATATTAATTAATTGGACTGATAATAAAAATTTCAGTGACGCTGATTTGCCGCAGCTTTCTTCAAAAGATACTCAAACTGAAGGTACTGAAGAAAATAAAGAAAATGATACTGAAAAAGATGATGCTGATCCAAATAATCATAAAGAGCATGTTCAACGTTGGTCTAAAGATCGGATAAAAAAAGAATACAGAAGATTTAATATTGATTTAGCACCAAAAGTAAATAATTAAACTATTAATTTTAATTTATTGGTTAAATTTTTAGATGATTATTTTAATTTTTCTGTATTTTTAGTTGCTCTTTGCCCGAGGAGAATTAGTAGAACTTTTAATATCTAGTAATATTGCACGTTACGCCGAGTTTCGAGCTGTTTCTCGAGTTGCTACATACATGGATGGAAAATTGATACAAGTACCTTGTTCAAGAGCTGACGTATTTGCTAACAAAACTGTCAGTGTTATTGAAAAAAGGATGTTGATGCAGTTATTAGTTTCTTGCATGGAACAAGGCGCTGAGAGTTCGGAATTTGATGGTTTGAAATAATTTAACAAATAAATAAACAAATGATTTTTTTATAATTTTTTGTATAACTAATGATTTGTGTTTTAGGATACCGCGATAAAACATTTATTGAATATTTAAATACGAAAAATTTAACACCTATTGTAAAACATTATGTAATGCAAGCCATAGCGATGGCTACTGACAAGACTTCATGTCGTGATGGTGTAAATCGTACAAAACATTTTCTAAATAGTCTTGGTCGATATGGAAATACACCATTTTTGTGGCCTATGTATGGAAGTGGTGAATTACCTCAATGTTTTTGTCGACTATGTGCAGTATTTGGTGGAGTATATTGTTTAAAACGTCAGTTTGACGGAGTAGTAGTTGAAGGAGATAAATGCAAATCCATTGTAACTGGAAAACAAAAACTAGCTCTCGAACATTTGGTTGTTGGACAAGGTCACTTACCTCCTGAAATCGTTGATTCTGCTGGAGAAATGAAAATTTCTCGTGGAATTTTCATCACAGACAGGTAGTAATTTATTTTATGAGTTATATTATTAAAGATTAGTCATTTCTTTAATTATTTGAATGATCTTATGATTATATGATCTTAGATCTATCATGCAAGGAGAAAAGGAAAATTTGACTTTACTTTATTATCCACCTGAAGGGCCTGATCAAGAGCCAGTTACTTTGATTGAATTAGGACCATCTACTAATGCTTGTCCTCAAGGCCTTTGTAAGTTATAGCTCTATTTTGATTATTATCCGTTTACTAGCAACCTGCAGTCACTATGTGACTGCCAAGATTTGTAGATTATGAATGAGAAAACTTTGGCTGAATGATTTTTTGATATTTACAATTACAGTATATATGTATAGTTTGGGTACTTTTGAAATCAATTTTGAAAATAATAGTGCTATCACAAGATCAATTACAATTAATTTAATGGACAAATGTGACGGAATAAATTTATAGAATCAACAAACTGTTTAAAATTACTCCAAAATCTTAACATAAAAAATTGACAAATGAAATATACAAATTCTTATCAAGACCTTTCTGATGATGTCAAATTTAACTATAAAAATTCCTTCAAAAATAATAATATGCTCTTCATAAAATTTTCCTTACTCTCTCAGTGTAAAATTTTTCTTAGTCTCTTAATTATATAAATTAATCTTTGACCTATATATAACCACATTCACATATACAAAACAAAATAAATAAATAAACAAGTGACGTTTATCGTGAAATTCGAATCTATTTATAACTACTTCGAAAATTTATCATAATATTAAATCAATTATTATTGCTAAAAAGCATATGAAACATTGAAAAAGCACAAATTCAGGTCAAGACCTTTCCATTGATCCTAAATTTAATTTAAAAAACTCATTTTATCATATAAATACCCCATAGACAAAATTTTCCTTATTCTTTTGATCATACACAGTATATAAAACTAACTTGAATTAAAAAAATAATTTTGAAGAACTTTATCATCATGATTTGAGTAGAAAAATTCTTAAACTAAGAAAATGTTCTTGGTTTAAGTAAATTCTACTTGATTCAAGCATTTTTCGTCTTGATTCAAGTTGAATTTTATTCTTTTAGTACAAAATAAAATAAATAAACAAATGACGTTTATCGCGAAATTCGAATCTATTTCGAACTTCTTCGAAAATTTATCATAATAAATAAACTATTGTTGAAAAGCATATGATACATTTAAGACGCACAAATTTCGGTCAAGACCGTTTCTATGACACTAAATTTAATTTAAAAAACTCATTTTATTATATAAATATACTGGAGACAAAATTTTCCTTTTTCTCTTAATTGTTTAGATTATATTAAATACTTTTTTGTTTTAGTTATGGTTCAAATGACTTGCAAGCGTACTAAAACAGCCAAAGAAGACTTGGACTATGTCGTGAAAAAATTCTTGGAACTAGATATTGTTGAGACGAATGTACGTTATCCCACTGATATGCATACGCAAACTATTTCAACGAATGATGATCATCTCCAAGAAGGGAATGTTGATAGAGACAAAAATGAAAACCTGAAACCTCATGTGTTATGGTCTTTATATCTGAATTTACCTGCTAGCGATATAAAACTGAGCAAATCAGCACCAAGTAATATATACCTTTGCTCAGGACCTGATCTAGATCTTGATTTCGATTTTTCTGTAAATCAAGTAAGTTATTCTAATTAACATTTTAACGTGAAATATTTTAATTTTTATCTTTTCATACTACTTTTTATTTTTTAGGCTAAAAAAATTTTCAAAGCCATGTACCCAGATGAAGATTTCCTGCCGCGTGCTCCAGATCCTGAAGAAATCGTTCTGGAGGGGGATGAAACACCTGGACCTAAATTTGATGACCATATACCAGAAGATGAAGAAAAAATAAGTTCTGAGAAAGAGTAGCGTGAATAATCTCATTTAATTAATTTATAATTGATGCTTTCATAATGAAAAAGTCGCACAAGTGTAGCCTCAATTTATACGGTATTATTATAATATTATATTTATTTTGGATTTTTCTATTTTGGACTAAAATTTTTAATTATATTTCTATTCTCTGCGTGGTCTAAATGGTACGTGAGAGATAGATTAACTTGAAATTGTCTTTTCAAATTGATTGTTGTTTAACAACCAATAAACAAAATAATGCGCAGTTTGTATAACAAATCGCCATAAAAAATATCTTAAATCTTTCTAAAGGATTTAATTTTTTCAGCTATGAATTAGTACATCAGTTTAATTGAACGTATGCTTATGAAATATTATGCTTACATCGACACAAAATAAAATAAATATCATTCCATATAAATGATCAAATGTGACTTGAATTTATCTTTAATTATAGCATTTATTATTATAATTATTTACATGAATAGCCATTTATTCACATTATTCATAGTTATAGTGTCGATTTTAAAGGTAAAAACAAATTTTTCATTCGTGTTTGAACTATATAAATTTATTAAAAATCTTAATAATCTGAAAATTAATATAGATAATGAAACATCTATTGAATCAATTATTTACGATTTTAAAATTTGGTTTTGAAGTAAAATAAGTTTCTTGACAAAATATAAAAATTTTTAAAAGCGTCTGACATCTGATTTTTAGTAAATATTATATTTAAGGTTCAATAATATTCCAACTCGACACTTTGATCGTAACAAATTGTATAATTTTTGTAATTTATATTTCACTCCACAATTTTCTGTTTACCATGAATGCTTAGAGATTATTATTTGTCATACTCAGCATAATGACTTTAGAATTTTTGTAAACTATTTCAATTATGAATCACATATGCTATTATTAATAACCGAATAAGAAAAATAATTTTTATTGGTACATTAATATAAGTAATAATAAATTATGTAATCAATTGAAACCGATTTAATGCTGTAGTCTGGAAAATACATGTTAATGTGCAAAAAAATTTGTATTTATTTATTTTCTCACCATTTCACATGCTCAGCTCTCGTTTTTGTATCAAGTATTAACTTTTTTTTTTTTAATTTCGTTGATAAATTATAAAAATAATTGTCTTAATATATTACTGATTTATAAAAAAAAAAAAATATTTTCATTATAACTATCTACTTAAGTTTATTATTGATAAATGTTTTTTAACATAGACACAAAAATTTTTTATTAAATTCCGTAAGCATTCTTTGAATGTTTGATGTTATTAATTAAACTTTTTCTTTAATTTTCCAATTATCTAATTGACATACAATTAAAGTTTTAGTCTTTACTATTAAAACTTAAATATTAAGCTAAATTTTAATCATATTAATAAATAAATAATAATCACCTCAAAATAACGTAATTTTTATTGATAAATATACATTTAAAAAATGAGAAAATTTTTAATAATGAAAATTCAAACTCTCTGTACTTCAACATGAAATTTGCAAGTTGGAATTAAAGTTATTTCAGCTTTGACAATACTGCTGATACCAAGATTAGCTAGACTTCCTCGTAAAAGTCCGCAGGTGAATGCTATTAATCGTGGACATTCACGTAAATATTGTTTATTGTTATTATTACTATTATGATTTGCTAAATGTTTCAATAATCTGAATTCATTGTCTTGTAAAACATATGTACCATGATGATTCGTTTTTAAATTATCAATTTGTTTGTGATATAATGATGACCAATAATCTGTACAAATAAATTTAATCATATCCAGTTCGTCTTTAAAACGTACCCATTCACGAGTTAACCGTTCAATAATACGATATCCAACTCCAAAACCCATCCATTCTAATTCAGATAAATTCTCCTCAGTATCCTGAAAATGAAATTATTTTATCGAACACTTTTAAATTACTCAATGTTCAGTTAACGATAGCAAAAATTGATACTTACTTTCACGTCAGATTCACTCGCATTTTTTTCAATAACATAATTCATTATTTCAGCATGTAGAAATTCGAATAAACATTCATTGGCTTCACCTAATGTTGACGTAGTCGATGATACTGAAGTACCAGATGAATTTATTTTGGAATCTGCTACTTGAGGCTTCATAATTTTATTATTTGTTTAAATAACTTTACCAGTTATGTCTGAATATTTTATTAATATAGATTTTAACCATAAATTATATTTAGTTTCGATTCAAATTTATCCTCTCAATTAGAATTTTATACCATTTCGTTTAATCCTATGTCACAAGGTGTAAACAAGACGAACAATAATTAATCTTGACTTATAAGAAAAATAAAATTTCTTTCTTGACAGGTATTCTAACCTTTATTGTACTCGAGGATATCAAAATATTCAATATATACACAGAGTTGACTCCGCGTTGAGCCGTTGAGCAGATAAGGAAGCAGCCGTCGGTTAGAAATAGAAAGATGTTAAAACGATAGTAATTACCACCTAGCGTTTGATAGAAACTTTTAAATTATCTTAATAAAACATAGATAAAATTCCAATATTATATATTTAATTTATTAATTTAATGTATGAAAAATAACACCAGCATACAAAAAAAAACGTTGTTTGTACATTGGACCGGACCCACTTACGGACATGTATTTCGACCCGCTGAATCCAAATCTGAAATCAGTTTGGGTTGCAGTCAACTAGTCAGACTGACAACATTCCGAATTAATAAATTACTAGAACTTAGAAAGTAAATATTAATTGTAATTTAAAATAATTAATTTTACAAATTTTAAAATTCCGAAAAATATAATCTTAAATAAAGAAAAAACTAAAGCTATATTAATAGAATCGTTCAAAGTCACAAAGTCTCAATAAATTAAAAAAGTTTGGAAAATCCAAAAGTGCACGCCTCATAATCTCATTTTTTAAAATAAAATTGATTAAAATAAAATATAAAAAGCAAAATAATAAAAAACAGAAAACACTGCTATGGTTTAGTGGCACCATAACTGCAAGGTGAGGAAAAAAAATACTAAAATAAAATGTCTAGATAGAAATACAAAAATATCCACAGTCATATATTAGTTTTTTATAAATAATAACTTAATGACAGTGAATTGAACGCTCATATTAACTAAGAAATTCTGTCGTGTGTTACTTTAGATAATTCAAAAAAAATTATTCCGGTACGATCATTTTTTCGACCAATTTCTCTGCCACATACACCCATTCATCCACGGACGTCCAAAAAAGATTATGTTTAATGTTATTATTTATTATGTTAAACAAAAAAATTGTTATTGAAATATATTTTATGTACTTGAAAAATTATTTGACTTGACATAAGTGTACTTATTTTAACCTGTAAGTGCGATATAAATAACAAAAAATCAATTTCAGTTTCGAGAAAACAGCTTTTTTCGAAATGTCGAGAGTAGAGCACAACCTCAACGCTTCGCTTATGAGGCGTGCAAAAGTTAGGAAAATCCAAAAGTACGCCTCATAACACTCATTCATTTTTTAAGAAAAAATAAATTGTGTAATTGATTAAAAAAGAAAAAAAAAATTATAGATTAAGTAATTTCTTGCAGGGAATTTTTTTTCTTTTTTTAAATATCAGCGCCCTTTTTTCTTGTCATATGCGCACGCAGTCTAAAAAAAATCTAGCTTGATCGGGTGCCAGAAACTCCACTCAAACATTTTTTCTCGGGTGCACGGATGGCCTTTAGGGTGAACCGTTTTTCTAATTTTTTATTTTTTTTTTTTGATCAAATTGATCAATTTTTTTGTTTAAATTGTTCATTTTTTTATGTACTTTTCAAAAAAAAATATATCAAAAAAAGATAAAATGGAAATTTTATCGAAAAACATGAAAGCTAATTTTTTTTTCCAACTTTTAAAGGGAAAAAAGCTATCGAAATCTTTATTTTTTCTTTTCACGACATTTTTTATCATAAATGCGCCGTTAAAACAAGCAGAATAAAAAAAAATTGAAAAATGTTAATTTTTCACCTAGTTATGGCCCGAAATGGGATTGACCCCACTTGTAAATAATAACGCAATTAAATTAGAAAAAAAATTCAACATGTAGAAGTTTTTAAGAATTATAAGTGCGAATTTTTAAAAATATTTTTTTCATAATTATGGATTTGTTATAAAAATTTTAAGAACTGTCAAATGTCTGCTAATGTTAGTATCATCATAAAACTACACTGAAAGAAAAAATTTATTTTGAAAAAAATGAGCATTAATGTGACAAGAAATTAATTTGTTAAAAATTTCCAACAATTTAAATTCTTTGCTGAAGAAACAAAAACTTTTCTCACAATAATTTTCTTATTAAAAAAAAAGTTTATGGATTTGGGGAAAAAAAAAAAAATTATTTTAGACAGACAACTTGCGAATTTTTATCCAAAATTTTTTTTTTCCCAAATCTAGAAAACTTTTTTATCAACAAGAACGTTACTGTGACAAAAATTTTTATTTCTTCAGCTAAAAAATAAAATTCTTTAAAATTTTCAACAAATAAATTTCTTATAACATTGCTAATTCTTTTCAAAATAAATTTTTTCTCTCAGTGTACAATACAATTTTTTTTATTACGTACCCGATGCATAAAATTATTCTTGTGCATATAATGTACACCCTCTAAAAGCATCTTAAAATAAATTTTAATTTGTGGCACTGTCAATGGTCTGTCATTATCTCTTAATAGTTCCCACAATCCAGACGGCATATAATCAAATACCATTATGAAATCATACCCTGATGGAAATGCATCTAAAAGTTTTATTATCTGAAAAAATAATAATTATTAAAAGCAAGTTTGTTTGCTAATTAACTAAAAAAAATGATGATAATTTATTACATATGGATGATTCAATTCTTGCAGGCTTTTTATTTCTCGTATTATAGATACAGGTATTTCATCCTCTATTTTTTTCATCATAATACGTTTTAACGCTACATGTTTACCAGTTTCACAATGTATGCCCCGTAAAACTAAACCATGAGCACCCTCACCAATTCTTCCAGTAATTGTATAATCTTCCATTTTTTAATAAAGAAAAAAAACTAAATAAGACAATTGATAAACTTCTTGGAGTAAAAATTTTTACATAATTTTTTACGTGTAAAATAAAACACTGTTTTAATAAATACGTCAAAAAAAAGAGGTTGTGTTTTAAGACCAGGTGTTTTTAATCATTTAATCAATATCTGAAGTCAACTTGATATTTTCAACACAAAAATTCAAATTTCGCGCTCTGTCAAAATCAAGCGCGTGCGCAAAGAATCACCGCATGCGCATAAGCTTAAATACTCAAGACATATGTTTCTATCTTTTTCTGTATTAGAGAAGTGAAAGATTCTTTAACTCTGTTCAGGATCACCAGGTTATATTATATGTTTTCATTGCTATTTTCTGTCAAGCAGTGTCAAGTTATTGCAATGGCCGCGCTTAGTTGAGCTAATGAATAATTTAACTAATAGTTAAGTAAACTATATTTTATTTTTGAAATTTCACTAGCACGTTATTTATTTTAGAATATTGAGGTAATTTACTTCAACAATGACGAGTAAAAAGGGCCAAACTTTAAGAATTGAAAATGAAATTGATAAATATCGAGGTGAAGGAAATTGGAAAAAGGTTATAGAGTTAGCAAATAGCTTAAAAGAACTTTATCCATCTAATGGTATGTATTTTTTAAATGACCATTAATTAAATTAAATTACTATTTTAGGTTCAAAATAAATTACTTTTCATTATACTGAAAAATGTATGATAAAGTTTTAGTTTATTAAAACAGTACTGTAATTACATATGTTTTTATTATATAAAGTCTCTTAATGATAACAAATTTTTCCATATCAATTGTGTTCTTTTATCAGACTTTAACAGTAGTAATTCAAACTAGATAATATTTTAAGTAATTTCAGAACTTAGTCATAATAACTTCATTAAAAAAATATTTGTTTCTATAGTAATGTTTAACGGTTAATTCTTATCATAAGTCTACTTATTTTAATTTTTCTATGTTACAGAATGTTTAGCAAATTTTTTGAGCGGAGAAGGAAAACTAGAAAGTTTTTTGGAAGAAACGCCACCGATTGAAGCTAATATTACGAAAGCTAAAACAGGATTGATTGATGCCAAAAAAGATTTAGTTTTAGCGGCTAATGAAAAAGATAAACAGGTGATCATTTATTAAAATGTTTTTATTTAAAACAATTAAATTAAAATAAAAAATATTTTGCAAAAAAAAAAAATTCACATGTAAAAATTTTAAAAAATTAAAAGTGAATTTTTTTAAATAATTGATTGGTTATAAAAATTCCAAAAATTTATAAATGTCTGTTAATTTCAGTATCATGATATTTAATGCTACCTGTTGATTGAATGACATTCATTTTTATAACACACCTTACCTTATCTAAAGTTTGTTTAGAAAAATTAATATTTAAAGTTAAATGCACGCCTGCCTAATAGTTTCCTTGGAGATTTCCGTGTGATACTCTTACACAATAAATGTAGGTGTGTCAGATGAAAAATTTTTAAACCATACTTTTTAAAGAATTCTATTTAATTAACTTTTTATTAAAAGCTAATAAATTGAAAAAATATCTTTTAATGGTTTTTTTTTTTTACTAAAATTATATTTTAGATTTTTATATTTGTCTTGACTATTCAATTTCATAAGAGATATAATTTAAAAATTGTATAAATTAACATTCAAATAATCTAAAAAATTAATTAAAATAATTGTAATATTTTAGGCAGTTGTTGTCCTCGATGCACACCTTCTTCTGGGTAAACTTCACTATGCAATGGGACTCTACTCTGAGGCTCTTCACCATTACGACTTTGCAGAACTTCATACTCTAACTGAAAAACCTCTGCCACCTCGTAGTCTTCGTATAATAGCCGAATCCTACGCGATTCAAGGCCTATGTTTTGAAAAACAATTACCAACCGTAAAATCAAAGTACAAATTATCAGAGTATCAGGAACGTATGATTAAATGTTTTGAAACTTCTGGAGATTTATCTCTAGTCTACTTTCAAGAGCTCGAAAAATCTCAGGTAACACAAAATGGTGGTTACTCTCCTCAACCACCAATCACATCAAAAACAATGGGCCCTATTCTCGAAACGGCTTTACTACGTGCTCCCTTGATGCATCTTCAATCTGGTAATATTGAACGTTCAATAAATCGTTGGCGTGAAATTTTATCTGCTATTGAAACTACAACAACCCAAAGTTTACGATTGACTTTAATTCGTCAGTTAGCAGAATTGCTTTTACGACGTATTACAAATTCGGATTATAAAGCACCTGAAGTGGCTGAAACTACGACAATGGTTGCGTCTAATACATTAACGCGTAAATTAAACAATTACGCGACAATAAATGGAATGGTAGAAACCCAAAAATCACCTTGGAAACCAAAAAAATATCAGGGTATTAATATGTTTGTTCCACGCACTATAAACGAAGAAATTATTTTACTTTTATTAATTGGAGAAGCAATGGCTGTACGTGACGCAGTTCTCAGTCAATCCCCAGAATTTAAAGAAGCTAAATCTCGTGCGCATGAAGTAGCGACTAACGTCTATGATTTATTGACAATCGTTACAGTTAAATGGAACCAAGTTGAATTGTTATACGAGTCATTTAAACGTGCTATGAAATTTTCTCATGAAGAAATCCATGTTTGGACGCAGTATGCACTTTGTTTAATACAATTGGGACAGTACGCCCATGCATATTCAGTACTTGAGATAGTTGCACGTTTAGCGCCCAATAAAGTGATGCCTTGTTTACTGGCAGCAAGAATGTGCTATGAGCATTTGGAAAAAATATCTACAGGAATTGAGTGGGCTAAAAAAGCTGTCTCAAGAGAAAATAATAATCCATCGGGTTTAATATCTCGCTGTCATTTATATGTCGGAATTGGAAACAGTATCTTGGCAAGGAGTTGTATGGTAAAAGCAGACAAAGCTACACACAGTACCCAAGCGCTTGAAGCATTCCATAAGTTTGTATTTTAGCTCAACTTAATATTATTTTGTTTTATGAGCAATTGGAATATATAATCATTTTATTGACATCTAATGATTTGTTTGATTCAATGTGATACTCAATTTTTTTCAATTTTTTCATCGATTTAATTTTTCAATAGCTCATATATTAACTTGAATCAAGAGAAAAATTCTTGAACCAAGAAATTAATTTTGGAGAATTTAATTGGGTAATTGGGTAATATTTACAAGTGGAGTCAAACCTATTTTGGCCATATCTAAGTGAAAAATTAACATATAAATTTTTTTTTTTATTCTGCTTGTTTTTACGGCAGCGGATTTATGATGGTTATATCGAAAATATCTAAAAATGAATATTTCAATAGCTTTTTTGCCTTCAAAAGTTGGAAAAAATTTTGGCTCATGTTTTTGGATAAAATTTATATTTTATCTTTTTTTGATGTTTTTGATATATTTCTTTTAGAAAAGTACATAAAAAAAAAAAAACGAACAATTTAAAAAATAAAAAAATTGAATATCACAATTTTCTAAGAACTTTATAAATTTTTTTGAAAATTTGTTAAAATTGTGGTAATCAACTTTTTTTTTTTTAATTGTTCATACATTTTTTTATGTATTTTTCAAAAAAAAAAAAATATCAAAATTTTCAAAACAAAATTTCGTTCAAAAAAATGAAAATTAAAATGGTAGACCCCACTTGTAAATAAGTACCTTTAATTTTCTTGAAACAAGAAAAATTTTTCTACTCAAATCAAGAAAATAAAGTTCTTCAAAATTATTTACTTGATTCAAGTAAATTTTTTTTCCTGTGTATAATTTAATAATTAATAACTATATTTTTATTTTTAGAGCTCAGCAATACGATCCAAATGATCATCTAGCTGAATATTATTTGGCGTATGAATATGCAATTAATCGACAATTAAATGAAGCTATGATTCATGTTAAAATAGCCTTGAATTTACGAGCTGAACACATTCCATCATTACATTTACTAGCATTGTTATTATCAGCTTACAAACAATACAATGATGCATTAAATTTAGTTAATTCAATTTTAGTTGAGTATCCAGATAATTCAAACTTCTTGTATATAAAAGCCCATTTACAGTTACATAGCGTAGGTGCTGAAGAGTCAATTATCACTATCAAAGAAATGTTGAAAATTTGGCGTGATTTGTATGAAAATCAAGTTAATGTAGATTGTAATGAACAACAAAGTGAAAAACGTAGTGAAACGCGTAGCATTTTTCAACTGTATACCACAGAATTATCAGACAAAGATTCAAGTTCAGTACATGCACAATCCTTAGCGGCATCTAAAATTGAGCAAGCTCTATCGGAAGTTGCTTCGTCACTTAGCTCATTTACACCCAAACCTGGACCACAACGGGCTTGGCTACTGCAGTTGCAGATTTGGTTACTGTTGACTGAAGTTTTTTTGATGCTTGATAAACCAGATGCTGCAGCATTATCATTACAAGAGGCTACCAATATTTTTCCTATGAGTCATCACATTATGTATACGGTACAATTTATTTATTTATTTTTTTTTTATAACAAAGTTACGAAAAAAAATTTTTTTTATTCAATAGAAATAAGACAGTAAAAACAAGTTTAGAATAATTGATCAAAGTCGATATTTTAGTTCAATTTCATACTAGTAACTTTTCTTTAAATTTTATAAATAAAGATTTTATTTTTATTTATTTATTCATTTTACTTCTGGTATATATTCTATAGAAGTGCATGACACCTGTGCAAACACACCAGAAAAATATAATAATATTTAATAGGATATACATCAAGTTAAATAATAATTAGCTAATGCAATGTACAAAATATGAAGTTTTCCTAAAACTAATTACACAATAATTTGCAATATAATACAATATCTTAATTTATCGTTCAATATATCTAATCCACTTCCCAAAATTCCGGCTTAATGAGCTCTTTTTACAATCAAGAGCTTTTAGATTATTGGGAAGTAGATTGAAATATTTTATGCCACAAAAAACGCATTTTTGGTACTTAGTTTTATTAAAGTTTTATTAATTTTTGGTAAAGTTATCTGTCTATTTCGTGTATTTATCGACCTCTTGGAGTGCATTAATTTACACTCAAGAAAATAATAAGTTAGCGCATTAACAACAAAATACTGGTTGATTTTTAAAGGTACTAACATTTCATTTTCTATTTTCATTTTACTTATTAATTTATTCGATATAAATTCTATAAAAAAAATATAGGCGCGCAGTAGCCTATCGGATCCGGCCCTTGCTTACCAAAGCATTGGACCGGGTTCGAGTCCGGCGTACACCAATGAATATTTTTAATATTTAAGTGTATTATTCTGCTCAGCCCAAGAAATAAAACGAGTTCCAATCTCAAAAGTTTACCCCCTACTGTAGTCGCTCATGACCTTAGTAGTTTATGCGATTTTAAACAAATTAAGAAAAAAAAAAAAAAAAAAAAAAATTTTTTAAAATGAAGTTTTTAATAATGCATTAAATAATTTAAAGTCATCGAAAATAATAAATGTAGTTTTTTCAATTTTTTTATTTTGGAATAAAAAAATATTTAAATTTAACGGATAAAATTACTTTATAAAATCCTGAGTGACGTAAGTAATTAAAAATATAATTAGGTTTAATTATGTTTGATACGTGATAGTCCATTTAAAATGACACAATAAATAATCTTTCATTCTCAGCCTTGTCTTACGTGTTATACAACTACACTATTTTTAAAAATAAACAAATTATTTTTTCTGTTTGAATTTTTACAGAAAGGCTTATTACATGAATACAAATCTGAGTACAATGAGGCTAAACAGTGTTATCAAAATGCTGTAGCAATTAATCCTTACCACATAAAAAGTCTCCAACATTTGGTAAGAATATAAGTAAATAAAAAGATGATTATATAATTAATTTCATCAGTTGATTATTACTACTAAAATCAATGGTCACAAAATTATAAAGTTGCAATTTTTAAATGTTATAAAAAATTTTAGTTGCTCTAACTTATGAATAAATTAAGCAATTTAGGCCTTTTCAAAAGTTTTTAAATTCTTTTTTCAATAACAATTATTTTATTTACAGGGTCTAATTTATCATTATTTAGGATGTCAAAGATTGGCTGAAAAAACATTACGTGATGCCGCTAAAATAGATCCAAATTCTCACCAAACTTGGTACAATTTAGGAAAAGTTTTGGAATCATTAGGTGAAATGGAAACAGCTAATGACTGTATGGCTACGGCGTTAGAAGTTGAAAATTCGAATCCTATTTTACCAATATCATCAATTGGAATTACATTTGAATGAAAAAATAATTTATTGATTACAATTATAAGATTATTTTTTAATTTCAAGTAGTTTATTAATATATTTTTTTTAAATAAATTATTTGTAATTTACTCTTATGCCGGCGTAAGGGAAGAAAATTGTTGTTATATTGTGAATAAATATGTATCTGTAGTGACTGTTTTATATAAATTATTAAGTATTAACTTATATTAAAATAGTGTCTGAAAGAATTGATAAAAAATTGTTTAAAGAATTGTTTTATTTAAAGTTATTGAAAAGTTAATAAAATGAAGTTAAGGGAAACTACTGGATATATCATTAGTCATTTAAACAATAATAATAATTTAATTATTAGTTGGATTTTAATTACTCTGTTTTTATTTTTTAAGTATATATGTTTATTCCTACCATACACTTCATTCTACAAATGTTAAAAAAATGCAAACGCAAATATCCTCTGAGTACGTTTGTATCAATATCAATTTGCAATTTTACATGCGTCATTTACTCTTTATGTTGCTCTAGAATAGTTACATTTTTTTGGTTTATTTTATTTATTGTAATGAAGGCGTATGAATAAAATTTGACGTGTTATTTCAAGGAGCTCGTATTGAACGAGATGGACTGTGATATGAGAAAAGAAAAGCATATAAAATAATCTATATAGTAAAAATTTTGTCTCCGGCGTATTTATATGATAAAATAATATTTTTAAATTATTTAATATCATTTGAAAGGTCATGATCTAAATTTGAGCCTTTTCAATGTTTCATATGTTTTTCAGCAATAATTAATTTATTATGATAAGTTTTCGAAGTAGTTTTAAACAGATTTAAATTTTGTTATAAATGTCATTTGTTTATTTATTCATTTTGATTTGTTTTGTTATAGCGAGTATATCTTTATCGTAAATTGGCTTTGATATTTTTTCAGCGATAGTCATTTATAATTTAAATAATTGAGAGAGAATAAGGAAAATTTTGTGACGAGTATATTATTATTTTTAAAGGAATTTTTATAGTTTAATTTGGTATCAGCAGAAAAGTCTTGATATGAATTTGTGGCTTTTCACGGTTTTATATATTTTTCAGTGATAATCAATTTTTTTATTTCAAGTTTTTGGAGTAGTTTTGAATAGTTTTTTGGTTCTATAAATTTGTTCCATCATATTTGTCCATTAAATTATTTGTTATTGTTCCGTGATAGCACTATTATTTTTGAAATTCATTTAAAAAGTACCCAAACTATGTAGTGTGATTATAAATATCAAAAAATCATTAGGCCAAAGATTTAGTATTCATAATCCGTAAATGCAGGTAGTAATAATTACTATCCAGCAATAATTGAACAGCTTTGAAATTAAAGATTCGAAAATCTTGTGCTATCGTGCTATCGTCATTTAAATAAAAGCAAAATTATTTCTTAGTATATTTTGAAAATAGCTCAGTCGATAACATTAAATTTATTTAGTTAATTACACACCCACATATGATCTCTTCAGATGTAGGAGCTCAGAAGTGGGGTAATACCTGCCACGCCGAATCGTCATAGACAGCATTGAAAACTTAATTATTAATAATTATGAGAATTAATCAATGTCACTATTATAAAAATGGAGCAGCAATCATTTTTTCGGCTGAATAATGTTTTTTTTAATTTCGAATTTTTAATTAATATTTTATAAATTTTCATGTTTCATAATCTCTCCAACATATCGTAAATGAAGTATAAACTTGGTACTTATGTATTTATGCATAGAAAATTAAAACGTGCGTTCAAATTTAACAAAGAAAACAAATTTATATTTGTATAATCAATAAATACGTCTTACATGCACAAATATATAGTATAAAAAATGATATATTGCCTATTAAAGTATCACGGAAAAATATATATGCGCTAACATAAAAATAAATTTTCCCTTATCATTCACTATTTCGCTCGTTATGTGGTTATATGTAATATACTATATATATATGTTTACATTTTTTTTCATTTCCCAATTTATTTATCATCAAATCTTGACGTCAACTTTGATATGTTTGATCGTTACATTACAAGTTTTTTTTTTTTAAGTAAAAAATCCATAATTTTTCTAAATATTCTTCTTAAATTTTACCTATAAATAATTTTTTGTTATTAAATAAACAAAAAAAAAAAAGTTTTAATTGAAATTAACGCATTAAAGTACTCAGTTCTTAATAATGTATCATTAGATGCTTAGCAAAATAACAATGATTTTTTTCTGTTTTCGAAAAAATGACAAAGTAATTAAGTTAGAGGGTTTTCTAACGAAACGTCAAATTAGCAGGAAAAACAATTGCAAATCAAAAGAGCAAGAGAGACAAAAAAGACGCATAATAATATAGGCCTGTCTGTTAACTCAATTGAACGTTTAACAAGATTAAATTTTCTTTCTCGCCCATATGACACATAGACACTTACACGACATACTCTTTTTCTCTCTTTTCTCTCATCATCTTACTTTCTCTCTAGTTTTTCAAATTCGTCTTTGCACTCTTTATTACATTCTCTCTCTTTTCTCTATCGTTCTCTTTTTCATTTTATTTTTACTTTCTCTCTCGCTTTTTCTTTATTAACAAGATTACAACTCTATCTCGATCTCACTTCAATAGCGTGTCGCATTGCGCGTACGTTCGCGCACGCTCATTCGTTTTGTCATGAGTTTACCTTCTGAAAAATAAAAAAAACATCATGATAACATTTTTTCATTTGCTTATGTTGTTTTAATTAAAAATTAACTTTACCTCAAGGGTTTTGAAGATCAATATTTATAAAAAAAATTATATTTATAAAAAACATATTTCTTCTTTTCTTTTATTCGAGATTAGTTTACTTATCAATTGAATGTATCCTAGAAAAAAGATAATATCAATTACAATTTATTATATATTGAATAAAGATGAATTTATGTGTATCAAATAATTAGATTATATTTTTTTATGGATAAGTTAGTTTGTTGTAAAAATTTATTTTAAGAAATACATAAAAAAAATTCAATACCTAATTGGTGAAAATGATGATAAGAAAAAGATTTCTTACACACCATATCATTATACACATGTAGATTATCATACATGTTCGTTATCATGAATCAAGACATACATGGTGTATGCATGTGGATGGATAGCCGTGTGAGTACATAGAATTAAAAAAGGAAAATAATATTATAAAAAAAAAAAAAAAAAAAAAAAAAAAAAAAATATATAAAGATAGCGTTTATAAGTAAAAATGCTGCGGCTCGTTCAGCTCTCTGGCTTTGACCCGGTAGCCACCGGCAGAGTCAGCGCGGCGGCGGCGTCAACGTCGGCCGGCGGCTGACGCATTGCAGGTGCGCGCGGGCCAATCACAAGTGTCCTGAGTATACGCCCGGACCTGTCCTGTAAACAATAACCGCACCCCAGTAAAAATTTAAAAGTACAAAAAAAAACCGTTAACCATATTGTCACGTTGTTATCAATAAGAAGTAATTAGTAATCTTACTAAAGAAAAAAAATCCAAAAGAAGAATATAATAATAAATAATATTTAATGATTAATATAAAAATTTGGAAAATATAATGTAAATGTAGATTAACGCATCGTACTATTTTATGTCCGCGTAGTTAAATGCGCGCGTCGTTCAAAATCAACCGTCATTTCCCCCACTAGTGACAAAATTTCCCCGCCAATGATCGGGTTTAAGATACACGTCTGTTTGTAGTGTAGCCGAAAACGTATAGCCGAGAATAACCGAGTGCCGCTCTGCCGGTCGGTTTCTACTGCTCCTACATCAGCAGCTAAAGCTTTAAACGCGTAGTAATACAACTAGTCCTCGTACTGTTAACATACACGAAACGGTAGACTCCTCCATTGCTGTTCTTGTTCTCTGCTTAAGTTTAGTAAGAGTTCGAGTGCGATTATAAACGTCGAGTTGTTTTACTGTATAAATACCGTATTTTATTAATTATTATTTTAAATTACAATATTTTATTAAATCTCGTACTGTTAATTATTATCAAAATATATTAATTATTGTTTTGAATAATAAATAACGTACTTTTTATTATTTTAAATACCACATACGTATATTAAGCTATATTTTATTGCGTACAGAAGTGTGTTGCCAATCTACACCGGGATTTCAACAACTATTTTACGAATTCTCTGTTAACGTTTATATTTTATCTTGTTTTGTTGGATTACTTACTCCCAGTGATTTATTGTGAATTATTTATTATCACTGAATTAATAATTACATTAATTAATTAACTCACTCGTGGATTTTCCTTACTTCCATTTGATTTACATTAAGTAATTCTAAAGCCAACATGGTAAGTATTGATTATTATTCGATATGAGTTATGGAGTTATTATTAGGAATTTTTTTTTTTTTTTTTTCAGACGCAATTAATACAATACTTTTTTTTAGACATTTTTTTTACAACCGGATTCCATTTTAAAACTGACGCGTTTTAACTTTTTAACGAGCACGTGGATATCATCGTTTCATTTAACATTTTTTAGTCTAATCTGAGATACTCGAAATTTTTTAATATTATTTTACAAGCATACTAATTCTAATTTTGAAATGAAATTTTATTTTAGAAAATGATACATCGAGCTAACCAAAGATTTATTTTTACTAGATTATTTTTTATGGCGATTTTTTATCACTAGTAAATCACTAGATTTTATCTAGGAAAATTAAGATATTCATTTTGTATGTATAGTAGTTTACTTGATATTGAAAAATTTATGTCAATTATTATTTTCTATTTAACTAATAATTATTTTATTTTTTCTCAAGGTTTTATATAATTCATATTTTATTAAAAAAATCTAATTTTGAAATAATTTTTCTACCTGAAAAATTACGGTGAAAATCAAAATATTTACTCTATAAATTCTCCGAGTTTGTCAATCAATAAAATAACAGAGTAAATTTTTTAGTATCAATTATCATAGCAATTATAATAATATTAATAATAATAATAATAATAATGGTCTAGATAACGTGTGAGAAGTATGTCAATCGATTAATGTCTTGTTAGACTATCCACGAGAATTCGTATGTTTTGTAAACTTTAGTATAACATAACCGAGGGTTGGAATTGTTATATGAAGGAGAGAAAGAGAAAGAGATGAAAAAAAAAGAACAAACGAGGGTTTTAGAGAGGGTGGAAGGGAGACTAGCGCGTTGCGGCATTCGCCAATCAGCCATTGTGCTATATACCAAGCTATTGATTTTCTTCAACTTCTCCCCTATCCTCTTTCATCACCGTTACCTCCCCTCTCCATACTTTCTCCTCTACGGTTCGTTTCACCCGTCCTACACCTTACATCCCTTCGCCCAATTTCTCGTATTTCCTTTTTTATAATTTACCCCAACCCCAAGTCGAAAAATACTTTGTTCCCATAAGATATATACGTGATATATTTTATGTCGGTTGTTTCTATATGAGAACAGGAGCAAGAATTGTTTTTTTTTTTTTTTTTTTTTTTTTTTTTTTTTAAGGGATGAGGGTAAAAAGATTGAGGTCGAGGTCAGGTGGTTAGCAAGACCCTGGATATCCGGGTAAAATATTTTAACGAATATGTAGTTTTTTTTTTTATCTATTTAATTCCTGGGAAGGTTAATTTATCATTGAGTTTGTTATTTATTTTTTAACAATTGTGATTCTTTTTATGTTTAAGGCTGATCAATTAACAGAGGAACAAATTGCTGAATTCAAAGAAGCTTTCTCGCTATTCGACAAAGATGGTGATGGTACCATCACTACAAAAGAGTTGGGAACTGTTATGCGTTCGTTGGGACAAAATCCAACGGAAGCTGAATTACAGGATATGATTAATGAAGTTGATGCTGATGGTAATTATATTTTTCATTGTTTCTTTGTACATAAATCCGCTAGGAAAGATTTTCATTTTTTATCAATATTTAATTACTGTGTAACTTATTGAGTTCTTTTTATTAATGATGAAAAAAATGTCGACTCCACAATTAAAGTTAAATAATGCAAGCATTAAAAATTACTGATTTCAAGTGGTTAAAATTAAATATAACTAAATCAATTCAACTTTATCATTCAGTAATAAAATTCAAAGTCATCTAGAATTAATACTTGGCCCCGAAAGAATTATTTGAAAATAACAGTATATGACACATTTACTATTATTATTTTATATTTTGACATTCGAACTATCACAAAGTAATAATTTATACAAATTTACTTACGGTGGAGTCATGGTTCTGATTAAAGTATAACAAACTTTAATACAAATAATTCAAGCCTGCTTTGAATTTGTCAAAATTCACACAATAACGTTTTGTTAAAACAAGTATGTTTGCTGGGTAAACATTTAATTTTATAATAGAATGTTGATAACAATCAACTATTTCACTATTGAAGTTTATTAAATAAATAACTACAATCTTAATCATAATTTTTGTCAATAAATAATGATAACATCTATGATAAACTTTCGTCAGTATTAACTTAAAGTAGTAACAGGAATTTTGTGAAACATGTTTCTATGTAATTAAATTCTTTGTTAAATTTAAGTAATTAATTTTTGAACTTATCTTCACATTTTTAGTGACTCATATAATTAAATTTATTTTTGTGTTGATTTATATAGGTAACGGAACAATTGATTTTCCGGAATTCTTAACCATGATGGCGCGTAAAATGAAAGATACAGATAGTGAAGAAGAAATCAGAGAGGCATTTAGGGTATTTGACAAAGATGGTAATGGTTTCATCTCAGCTGCTGAATTGAGACACGTTATGACAAATCTTGGTGAAAAATTAACTGATGAAGAAGTCGACGAAATGATAAGAGAAGCAGATATCGACGGCGATGGTCAAGTTAATTATGAAGGTAATTATTAAATAATCTGTTGTATATAATTGAATACTTAAAAATATAATTGATTATTTTACTTATTTTTATTTTTTTTCTTATTTTTTTAGAATTCGTCACAATGATGACATCAAAGTGAATACGACTTACATGTATGAATAATTTTCAACTTGAAGTGGTATTGACATATTAAGAGAATTAAAAAATAAAATTAAATTAAAATAATTAAAAAACAAATAAATAATTATTATATGAAAAAAATGAACATCTAGAGGTGCGAATTTTTATGCAGCAAAAAATAAATAATACAGCAGTAACTAAAACAACATCAGCTACAACTACAGTAAAAGTAACTAAAGAAATAGGATTTCAATGAAATGAAAAATCTGTCTGTTGACAAAAAAGTTTAATAAATAATAAATAAAAAATTTAAATAAAAATAAAAATTGAAATTAATAAAAGTTGGAAAAATGAATAATTAAATACTATTATTAATTAATAATTATTAATTTTAAGTATTAAAAAAATGGTAAACTAAAAGTAACATTTTTTTTCTTCTACACAATATTCAAGTTATGTTCATAAACATTTTAACAATAATAATTGAATTCTTAATCAAAAAGGAGCCTTTATTACTTATCTAATAATGATGAAAGTTTTTTTCCATTTAAATTATTGTTAACTATTATTTTTATTATTATTTAGTTGGTAAATATACCATGTTGGTTAAGAACTTGTTTGTTAATTTACAATAGATTATTTAGATTTTTAAATTATAATTACTTTTATGTATGTAATACTATAATTTTTCAATTTTTAGGAACGATAAAATTGTTTTTTCATATTCTGATTAATTTTTCGTATTAAAATAACTTTGTCACCTTTTTTTCATGCTATTGTTGATTATAAATTAATAAATTTGCACGAATAGAAATAAATAATTTTTTTCTTATTGAATGAAAAGGTTTTTTTTTTTTTGTTTATTAACTTATTAAGGAATAATTATTTTACATTTATTACTCGTTAAAATAAATTGTCAAATGAACTTTAATGCACGCATTTCGATATTAAACAAAAATTAAACTATAATTAATTAATCAACAAAATTAATTATTATCTAGTATAAAAAATTAATTAAAACAATATTAATAGTTATTAATTAAATAAATTAATGGAAGTAAACATAAAGAAAGATAAATTATCAACCAAATATAAATTAATTAAGAAATATTTCGTTTGGTAATTGATCTACTTTGATAAAATTGTGGATCAATTTAAGAAAATCAATAACAAACGAAAAATAATAATATAGCTAAAATTGCAACTAAAGAAAAATTTTAATTAAAATTAGTTAGATTTTTAAAGCCATTGATATATAAATATACGTATTATATGTGTAAAATTTTTTAAATATTCATTTTTAAAAATATCAATTGGCTTGATTTATATATTATAATAAATACGTTTTTCTTTATTTTTCTTTACCAATAATTATTAATTAATATTATTCAATAATAGTTAATTTATTTTATTGTAAACATTTAATTAACCAATTATATTGAAAATTTTTGAACATAATTATTCGATGCGAATAATTATTATCAACCAAATTTAATGAGAGAAGACAGATAAAACGATTAAATCATGAAGTTTAAGTGATTAATTATAAATACATAAATAAATAAATAAATGAAGTAAAATGAGCAATTTAAGCTCGTTATCAATGTCTTAATGCATTAAATAAATAATTAATTAATTGATATATTTAATATTTAACAAAAAAAAAATATGGATAATAAATTAATCCTTTTTACATTCCCCTTTTTGTCCTATTCAATGAATGAAAAAAAAAAAAAAAAAAAAAAAAAAAAAAAAATAGAACGAAAAAATTCACTTCTTCTTACAGTTAATAAATTTGATTATTGAAATAAACATAAATAATTATGAATAAAATTAACTTCTGTTCAAATTTTTATTTTAAACGATAATTTTATCTTCGAAGAAAATTTTATTGATCACCGAAAAGTTTTTTTACACAATATCAAGATAGAAAAAAAAAAGTTTGTCCAATTAGAAAAGATAAAGTATTTTTATTAGAACTTTTCCGAGAAGAAAATGTTTTAGTAAAAAATTACTGCTTTCGTTGATTTGTTACTTCTAAAGAACTTTAAGATAAAAAATATAAAATTAAATAGATAACTTTTGAAATTTAATGCGTGTCGAAACTAAACTAAATTTAAAAAAAAAAAAATTGATGTAAAAAATTATACAAATTTAAATTTGAAAAGTAATTTTAAAGAATAAAAAAATTAATATAATTCATACAAATGATGATTTAATCAATAATGAAAAACTACCATCGTTAATCGTGTCTCATCGGTGGTTTACACTCGTAATTGAAATCATAATAATATTAATAATTATTATTATAATGATAAATAATAAATTAAATGGATAACTAAATAATAATATATATGTAATATATATTATACCCATTACTAAATTGATGAGAAGAAGAAAATAATGAAGTGATAAGAAAAAATTAAATAAAAAACATAATGAGTGGATTAATTAATAAGTCACGACATTTACACCAGTCCTCTATTATTTAATATTTAAAAAAAAAATAATTAATTAAAGACGGTAAATAAATATAAATAAACAAAAACTAACGTGTTTGATTTCTAACTTCCTGTTCAGAAAATTATATTAATTTTCAAGGAAAAGGGAAGTTATTATCATTTTGATTGTTCTGTTCCGTATCTATTATAAATGTGGATATTTTTAAGCTCATTATTTTTATGTAGTTTTTTTTTTTTTATTAAATGTTTAATATTTTGTTTATTACAAGAACTAATAATCAAGAAGAGTTTAATTTATTAAGGCTTGATCTTGCTTTCAAATATGATAATGATTAAGTAAGTACTTATAACGGTTATTACACTAATTTTTCTTGATTGAAACTTGAAGAATTTACATTTTGCTGAGATTTTTTTGGTTCCACAAAAAAATGCTCTTCTCGGATATTAATTTCAATTTTTTTATTTTGACTAACACCGATTAAGCAATCATTTTGGTTCCGACGCTCGAAAAAAAAAAACAATATTTATTATTTTTTTGTATAGAAACTATTATAGATATTAATATAAAATTTATTTAGCTCAACAAATACACTCTTGAATAACACAAAAAATATTAAAATTTATTTTTTATATGAATAAACAACGGGTGAACGGAGCTTCTTCAAAAGTTGGTATGTCGCTGATGTACATGATAATTTGATAACAGTTCATCTAAAACACAAAACTAAAATGATTTACCTTCAATATATAAGTAATTATTGGAGATTAATATTTATTGATAAATAACAAAATAGCGGTCATTTGAAAAATAAGACTTTTTTTTTTTACAGTTTTTAGTCCTAAAAAAATAGTAAAAATCAAAATTTTGATTTGGTTGTAACTGATGCAATAGCTACTATACTACTACTTTGCAGAATGTGTGGTTTAAATTTCATTAAGATCGGGACAGTGGTTCCGGATATATCATGTACGTCAACCAGAAAAACATAGTTCTGAGATAAACGCGTGTAAAGTTTTTTTAATAAAAAAAAAAAAAAAAATCTTACCTGAAGTCAATGAGCGATGCCAGAATCTAATCATACAAGACTCCTTTAGCCTTTTAAAAATTCAATTTTCTTCCACTTGAATATCCACATCAACATCGCAATTTTAACACAAATATTTCTAGATATACTTTCTAAAAATGTAAAAAAAAAAATAAGATTTTTGTTTCAAAGCTAAAACCCAGAATAGCCCCTTAAAAAAAAAACCGGAATATTAATATGTTTGTTACCAAATATTTCTCAGTTATTATTGAAATAAGTATAAAATTATTCAAGTTTTAAATATTTATTCTTATTCATAAATAACTTTACAGCCTTTCAATTCATTACAAAGTTTGTCTTGTATTAAATTTTTATCTTTAATTGCTGGTAAATTTCTTAGCTTCAGTGTTTTCAAATTTCTGTAATATAAAATTTTTATTTCAATTATAATATTCCATAATTTGTCACATAACTCAATTCATATCAAATAAATTTTAATTTTGTGTTGATGCAAATATTTAGTAGTAAAATTAAGATAAAAAAACAAGTTAAATTTACTTTACAGATACAAACAAAAAAAGTTTTCTTTATTTTTTAAATAAGTAAGTAATCTTTTTAAAAAGAATATCAATCACCTAATGCATAATTATGTATCATTAACTTAAACTTGGCCTACGGTAGAAGCATCGTTTGAGGACACTATAGCACAGTAACCAGTCGTGTTTCATTTTTTCCGTGTACCGTTTTTGAACATTTGATGTCTACATAATTGTATAACTAATTTATAAACCTAATAGCAACATAAATTCTGTTTGTATGAATGTAAGTATTTACAAATTCTATGACAATATTATTTTAACAATACAATTTTCTGCACAATTGTTGAATTTCAAAGTGTCCAAAACTAACACTAAGGTTTTCAAAACTAGAGGTTCTACCCTATGTCTTTTTCTTTTAAAAGTATAAATTAATTATTAATAAATATTTACATACGTTAGTTCAGTCAAAGAATGGAGACCTTCATCAGTTATTAATCCACAATTCTCAATTTGTAGATATTCCAATGAATTTTTCAACAAATTCAAATAATTGAGTGCTTGATTACCGACATAAAGACAATTTACCAATTTCATTTCGGCAATATATTTACAACCATCTGAAAAGTTATAATTATTAGAAGCAATCTTCAAATTAAAACGTTTTTTATAATAAATTTGGAATTTTTTGACTAACTTGTGAAATTTCAATTGAATTAGCTTTTACATTTAACTTTTTCTAGAAAATAATAACAAACTGTTTTTATACGTTATCACTATGATATTGAATTTAACAGACATCTAACAATTTTTAAGATTATTATAACGATTGAATTATAATTTAAAAAATTTAGCAAAAATGTTCCATATTTAAAAATTAGGTAATTATTTACAAGTGGGTCAACCCATGCAAGCCCATGTTAATTTTTTTTTTTTTTTTCCAACAAATTGATCAATTTTTTTTAATTGTTCGTTTTTTTATGTACTTTTCAAAAGAAATATATCAAAAAAAGATAAAATAGAAATTTTATCCAAAAACATGAGAGACAAAATTTTTTCCAACTTTTAAAGACAAAAAAGCTATCGAAATCTTTATTTTTTCCTTTCACGACATTTTTTATCATAAATGCGCCGTAAAAACAAGCAGAATAAAAAAAAAAAAACAAAAATTTGAAAATGTTAATTTTTGACCTAGTTATGGCCCAAAATGGGATTGATCCCACTTGTAAATAATTACCAAAAATTAAAAAAAAATTGTAAATACGAATTTAAAAAAATATTTTTTTTCTAATAATTGATTAGTTATAAAAATCCCAAAAATTGTCAGATGTCTGCTAATTTCAGTATGATATCATTATTGTATGAATTCACTTTAAAGATTTATTGATTGAAGCAAAACTATGAAATTCGATTGAAAGTTTCTTTATGAGCGTGTCGGAAAAAATCTATAAAAATTTATCAAAATTTTAAAGAGTAGTGCATACCAAAATGAGGGAATCCTTCATGACTAATTCCTGAATCAGTTGCATCGACACCGTAGATAACATATTCCATTCCACCGGACACTTTTGGTAAATTATCATAGTTATTTAAGTATTTATCATCAATTCGACTTTCATTGTTAGAAATTTTTTTCCATTTAACAGCAGCACCATTTCTTATCAGCCATTCAGCACACGCTACATTGGGTCCCAACTCTTGGATTTTTTTCTTTGATACACTAAGTAGAAAAAAAAAATTTATTTACAATAAATATGCCTTATTTTATTATCAATATTTTTATTTTTAAAGATTAAAATAAACTTAGCAGACAACTGACAATTAAAAAAAATTTTTTTTATTCAAAAAATCATTACAAAAAGATTAAAATAAAAAATTTCACTTGTAGAAAATTATAAAAATTATGCGTGCAATTTTTCAAAAATATTTTTTTATTTCTAATTAAATTATTTAAAAAAAAAAAAACTGAAAATTTTTTATCTGCTAATTTTAGAATTCTTTTCTCGAGTAATATAGATGTATATAGATTGGTTATTATTATTATAACCAAATTATAAACAAATTATTATTTAGAGTAATATAATTACTTATTAAACACTGGAATTAACCATCCGAAAAAAGAACGTTTCAATGGTAAATTTAATTTGTTGATAGAATTTAAAATTATTACCATTTTTTATCTTTTAATATTATTATTTATTGATCTCTTATTATTCTATTAATGTTGTCTTTTTGAAAACAATGCAATTCAATATTTAGATGATTTTTAACAATTAAAATTTTCACATTGGTATGTTATGTACTTTCTTATAGTGGCAAGTAATAAACAAATAAAAGAGCGATCAACAAATCAATGTAAGAACACTTTGTAACAATAGTAACGCCTTTACTAAAAGGCGCACGAAAAAAATCGCACGATATGGCCGCACTGAAAAGCGTACGATGATAATTAAACTTCTTGAAGGTTATAAAGTACAAATAAATGCGTAATTTTTTACTCAATCGATAATAAGTAAATTTGTGATAAAAATTTACATTAGTGAAATACCGGTTAGATATTAAATAATTAAGAAGAATTTTTTTAACAAATAAATTATGGCAAAAAGAATGAGAAAAAAAATTGATATGTAGAAATTTTAAAAAATTAAAAATGCAATTTTTTACAAATAATTTTTCAGAATAAATTTGTTTATTAAACAAAATAAAAAAATTATCAAAATATAAAAATCTTATCGTTTTATAATTAATATAAATTGGTGAAGCTGAATATTTAACTTAAAAAAAATTACAAATTAAATGTTTAAATTTTTTAGATTGTTAAAAATTAATTAATTTTTTATTATCTAAAATTCAATTGTTATGATTGAAAAACATCAATTCTGGACAGGTATGAGTTAATTATTAATCAATATTTATGTTAAATGAATATAAATATGTTATCATCCAATTATTTTTAATCTCTTAATTAATACGACGATTTTAAGGTGACCCACTGGGTATCAGGCGTTTTGATCCCCCGACAAAATATCCCCGGACAAAATATGGTTTTTCTGAAATAATAATTATAATTATTGAAATTTTCGAAAAATTTATTATAATTATTAAATTATAAATTATAAATTTATAATTATTATTTCAGAAAAACCATAGTTTGTCCGCGGGGATATTTTGTCGGGGGATCAAAAATCATGGAACCGGCCCACTGAGTTTTAAAATAAACAATCAATTTAATTTTTGCTTTCAACAGAAATTTTTTTTTTTCGACTGATAATCTTTGAAAATATCTAAAATTTGAAAAATGTAGTAATTTTCAACTCAACTATAATTATAATACAAAAGAAGAAATAAATTGTTATTTTAACTTTTTTCAAAATTGCAACAATAGTCCGAAAAAAATTTTTTTGATTTTATATATGTAATAGACGCTACAATTTTTAGAATAATTTCAAAAAATTTTTTAACAAGTGACAATTTAATCATTCTAAGAATAATATTATCTAAGAAGAAATTTGATTTTATGGTGGTTAATTTTTTTATTACAGGTGGCTTGGGACAGTGTTTTTTTTTTTTGAATGCGCATTAAAGCTAGTCCGTCGTAAATGTACATTTTGAAATTTTATTTTTCTAATTACTTTTTAAAAAAAATCGCTAAATAAATTATTATAAAGCTTCTACAATAGCTAGTTATAAGTTATTTTTTGGAAACTTCATTTTATTTGATTTCGAAATTTATTTAAGATGTAATTGGAAAAATAAAATTTAAAAAAATTAATTTACCATGTCCTATCTTTAAATTTAAAGATCAATTTATAACAATTTTAGTATTAAAAACTATTAACTAGTTTTTTGGTGAATATGATAGTTCTGATCAGTAAATGTTTTCAATGGTATTAGTGCAAGTGTTAAGTAAATATTTTCAGTTTTGCGTTTGAATAAAAAACATGAAAATTTTAATTTAGTAGATATTTTTTAATTTTAATAATTTTTCTAATAAATAAATTACTGCTTAAAAAAAATAAGAAAAAAATTGACGTTTAGAAAATTTAATAAATAAAAAATGCAATTTTTTAAAAATAATTTTTCGGAACAAATATTTTTGTTAAATAAAATTAAAATCGTCAAGTGACAGCTAACTTTAATATCATATAAAAAACCAATAATTATAAAAACAATATTGAAAAAAAGCAATTTTCATGATACTGAAATTGAGAGACATTTGATAATTTATAGAATTTATTTATCAAATACATTGCTACAAGAAAATTTTATTTAAAAAATTCCATCTTTATAAAATCTAGAAAATTAAAAATATAATTTAACAACAATTTTCTAAACCTATTAGTTTATTTTTCAACAAAAATAAAAAAATTGTCAAGTGTGCAAATTTCAGGTCATCAATTTTTTTCGGAAAATTTGTAACTTTTTTTGGTGGGGTAAAATAGTTTTAAAATTTTTTGATGGGGTAAGAAATGAAAATTAATTTTCAGCCTATATGGTGTGATATGTCCCATATATTTTTAATTTAAACAATAATACAGTTGTACAAGATCACGTGATTTACAGCCAATGGGAGTACGGAGACTCAGACCATACTGGTGATCGTCGCTTTACGACTCAAATAAATTTGGAAATTAAATGAAATAGTTTCCGAAAAAGAAGCATACAACTTTTGCGGCAACTTCATAACACTTGATTCTTAAATTTATCTAAAAAGTAATTAGAAAAATAAAATTTCTAAAAATACATTTAAGCATTCTCTATCCTTGAAAAATAAATATACAACTCTTTTCTAGTTTTGAAAATGTTTATGCATCTATAATATATAATATAATATAGTAAAATTAAATTACTAACAAAGCCAGAGTTTAATATCTTTTACTGGATAATTATGTACGGGAATAATTTTTTTGTAAATCGTAATTTACAACAAAGTAATTTAAATTTTAGCAAAAATAGTTGTTAAAATATTTTTTTAACAATTTAATAAATAAAATTAAATGACTGGTTTGTACCCACTTAGTCGAAAAGAGTATCAAGAATTTTCAAACTCAATTCCATCCATCAAAACAATAGTAAGTGTATTTAAATTATTAATTGCCAATTTAAAATCATCGTTTATATTTTTTATTTAAATGTGTCAATTTTTCAGATGTTGGCAACATTGGCAGTCGATTAAAATGACGTTCGTAAAAACTGGGTGTGAGTCTCAAAAAATAACTATGTAGGTAGAAATTATCCCATAAGACAGAATGAAAAATAACTATACGACAATTTCTGGGTAAGAAAGAGATGAACGATTTATTTTCATTTTTTCTTTTTGCATCTTTCATCAGGTGGTTGAGGGCGGGAGAGAATATGATGAAGAATAGATTACTTATCTATTCTTCATGGTGGGGATACGGTATATAGTTGTATATTATTCTAAATAAAAATATACAATAGTGGGCGACAATTTCTGTGGATACTATACATATTAAAATAAATAACTAGTTACGCATAAAGTTTTTTTTTTTTTTTTTTTTATTGCTTAAGTGTTCAATTGATTGAATAGACTGTTACTTTGAAGATTGACAGTACGTCTTAGTAAATACAAGTATTTCTCCATTCAATGACCTTAGTGAATTGTAAAATAAACAAAATGTTATTAAAATTACGATAAAAAATCTTTAGAAGTGTATGTGGTCATTTGTGACTAGTGTTATGAAAACTAAATTTTACTTTTCACAGATGAGACAAGTATTTTTTGATTTAATCAAAGAGTTTAATACCTTATATGGAAAAGAAAATTACGTCTAACATTCGATACTCAAGTACTATAAATAAATTTTGTTTTTCATCGAATCTTCCATTGTAAAAAATATATTGGTTAATCGACAACACTGCATTGAGTAAGTAAAGTTGTAAAATTAATTATTTCTTTTGACTTTTATTTAAATTTGTAATTTTTCATTTTTTTCAGACAGTATTTCAGTATTGAAGATTTTTTTTTACTATAATAGCACTGCAATAAATAACTCATTACATTTGGAGGAGTAATTTATTTTGTTACATAAAGTTAATAAAAAAAATGATATGGCAGCTTTAAAGTTGGATAATAATGAGGAAGATAATTTAGAAACAGAATCAGAAGTCAGCAGTATTTATCAATGTGGATCCGTTTTTTCAACGGTACCTGATAGACATGGATTTTTAGGAGGATCGCAGTACAGTCCTGAAAGGTAAAAATAAAACTAATAATCATTATTTTTTTTTTTTTAATTTTTTAAATAGTATTACAATCTGTGTGTAAAAATTTACAGGAAACCAGCAATACCGTCTGTGATAATTTTAAGAAGAGAAAAAAAATGGATTCATATGCTAAACAATTGGAATTCTTTTATGAAAAATAATTATCGTAAAGTTAGAGAAAGATGTAGGAAAGGTATACCACCATCTGTTCGACTCAGAGCTTGGTTAAATTTATGTGGTGGCCAAGCGTTGATGAATGACAATCCACGTTTGTATGAGGAATTGTTAAAACGAACTGGAGATCCAAAATATCTTGAAGATATTAAAAAAGATCTTCATCGACAATTTCCGCAACATGAAATGTTTGTGGACAATGCACCCGGGCAACAGGAATTGTTTCAAGTTTTAAAAGCGTATTCTATTCTAAATAGTAAAGTAGGATATTGTCAAGCACAAGCACCGATTGCGGCGTTTTTACTGATGCATATGCCTGCAGTTCAAGCTTTTTGGTGTCTTGTTGCTGTATGCGATAAATATCTAGTTGGGTATTATAATCAAGGAATGGAGACACTGCAACGTGATGGCGATATTTTATATGCTTTATTAAAACGAGTTTCTCCTGTTGCTTATAAACATTTAGTAAGTATTAAATTATTTAATTTACTTCAATATTATACGCTAATAAAATAATCTTTTTTTTTTGTTTTAGAAAAAACAAAAAATGGAACCAATTTTATATATGACAGAATGGTTTTTGTGTGTATATACAAGAACTTTACCTTGGGAAAGTATCCTACGAATCTGGGATATGTTTTTGTGTGAGGGTGTTAAAGTTATTTTCAAAGTAGGATTAGTTTTATTAAAGGGATGCTTAGGACGTACATCTCTAACCAAGTGCTGTCCAACAATGTACGAAACTCTTCAAGTTCTGAGAAATCCTCCTCCAGAAATTATGGAAGAAGAAGTTTTAGTTTATCATGTAAGAATTATTGATTTATTTTTAATCATTACTATGTTGAGAGAAAAAATTACTTTTGAGAAAAAAGAGCATTCTTTTTTCAAGAATTTAAATTTTTAAAAATTTTCAACATTATTCTTTTTCAGCTGAAGATATCAAATTTTTCTCGTAGTTTTTTTTTTTTTTTTTTTTTTGTAAAATAATTTTTTTTTCATATAGAAAAAAATTATTTGAAAAAAAGTCTAAAAGATATCTTATTCAAGACTTCAAGTTTTTAATGACAAGAAATTATTTTTATTTTAATATATATTTAATTAATTTTACTAATACGATGGATTGAAGATAGTACAAGAAAAATAATTTTTTGTCATCAAAAACTTTGAATAAAATACTTTAACTGTCTTTTAAGTTGTTTATTTCTGTATTTAAAAAAAAATTGACTTTATAAGAAAAAATAATACAAGAAAAATGTGATTTTTCCAGCTAATGAAGAAATAATAAAAATTATTTTCTAACATAAGAATTTTTTTTTTTTTTTTTTTTTTTTTTTTCCAGATATTGAGACTGAATTTAAGTGAAGAAGACTTTGAGTACGAACACCAACGACAAAGTCTCAAAAGAAAAATGAAAGAACAAACAACTCATATTTCCAATGAAACTGACTGAAAAAGGGCATCTATTTAATTTTCGAACCGTAGCTCAAAATTTTTATGCTGACATTAATCAACGGTTCATCCAGCTGTATTTTTAAAAATTCGTATTTTCTTTAATACTTATACAGAGAGCATTTTTTATTTACATTTAATGAAAAAAGACATAGTTTAATTGTATTCATAACTTACTGAATGTTATAATTGAAGAAATATTTATTCAGCGATTCAAAAGTAGCCAGAGTCGTCTTGAATTAGATAGTGGCTATTATTTGTATATTAGCGTAGTAAAAAGATAATATTTTTAGTTAGTTCGAAAAATTATAATTTATCACAAAGCTTTGAGAAAAATTTGTTAATAATTTCTTCACAACTGAAGAAATTAAAAAATATAAATTTTATATTACTACAGTAAGTAAAAATATACTAAAAATCTAACATTATTTTTTGGAAAATAAAAAAAAATGATTCACAGGTTTAAGCTGTATAAGTAGCACATACAGTTTTAAAGCTAATACTTTAATTGATTTTTTTTATTAATAACAGAAATAGAATAAAAGCACTGGCTTTACATCTGATATCATATATGGACATTTTATTTATAAATAATATTAAAATTTTTTTAGAGTATATTTAAACATGATATAAACATCTGTGATTTTCGGAGAAATTGCACAAATTAGTTAATTAAAATTTTTAAAATGTCCAAAAGTTTCATCCTAATAAATCCAAGAGTTGATAATATTTCATAATTAGTAACAATTGAATATCAGTATCCAATATAAATGGCGACAATTACATTCGTCATAGGTTCTAGCAATAATTTGATCAACATTATAAATGTGCCTTTTTTATACTATTTATAATCACAAATAAAATGTATTAACTAATACTAATATTTATTAACTCAAAGTGCAAATTAAATTTGTTTTCTTTTTGTATGCAATTGAGTACAGTATTATATACAAATTCCGATATTTTTCAGTTTCCAAACTTTCTATTTTTTTATATTTCTTCTTGAAGAATTTTATTTTTTTTTTGCAAATTATTAAAAAGTATTAAACAATAATAATATAAAGTAAGTCCGACAAAAAAAATAACAATCATAAAAATATATGCAAATTTTCAATCCCAAATTTTTAAATAATTTTTTTTTACTATTATATCAATCATAAATAAAACCACAATAATAGTGGGACATTTGCGATTGTCAGTATCACTAATATTTTCCCTTTATTTGTTCCTTCAATATAATGATTTCAAAACTGTTTTCCATTTTAACTTTGAAAATATTTTTAAATGTGTTCAATAAATATTGGTGTCAACATTTCCGAATATTTTGAGTAAATCACAATCTTAACGAAAAAATAGTTTTTTTTTTTTTTTTTTTTTTGTCACAAAAATAAAATCAAGAGTTTTTAGAATTACAAAATTCGTTAAAGATTTATTGATTTTCTAAATTTTCTTTTTTTCCTTATATACCCAATTTAAAAGTAAAGCTACTTACTATTAACTAAATAATTGTATATTTTACAACAGTTTCAACAAAAATATTTTTTATACTAATATTTAAAATATTATTTCGATATTCTTATAGAGTTTTTTTTCACTCGAAAAATCTACTAATGAATAAAATTTTGTACAGTAAATATAACTATTGTAAAAGAAATTTCGATATTTAATTTATATATATGTATATATATTTGAATGTAACACCTACTCAATATTAATTAGCGTTTACGATTTTGTTTACGTGATCTTGATGGTTTGTTCGGAGTAGAACTTTCAGGTATAATAATTGTACCACCTGCGATATTATCTCTTTCTGTAGAATTTTCAATTTTAGTTTGTGCCTCGAAATAAAACATCAAATCTCTTATATGTTCTTTCATATCTACGACCTCGCTCTCTTTAGTGGTTTTATATTCAGTGAATTCGTCTTGTAATTGTTTATGTTTTGATTGCCATGAAAATTGATTTTGTTCAAGTGCATGTCTCAACGCTTTTTCTTCTGTCAACTCTGCCTGTGCTTGATTTAATTTCGTATTTGAATGTTGTAATTTTTTTTCCAAGCCCTGTTTTTCGCGTGTGAGACTGACGATTTTATCCTTAAAAATTACAAAAAAAAATTAAATGAAAAATTAATTTTTTTTTTTTTTTTTTCAATTATATTTAGTTTGACATTTTACCTTTATTTGCAAATTCTCAACAGAAATTTGACTAAATTTGTCTTTGAGTTCAGTAATTTCTGATAATGAACGCTGTTCTATTCGATTTAGACGGTCTTCAAAATATTCTCGCTGTTTCTCTAGTTGTGAAGTAAGTAAATAGGTGAATTCTAATTGAACAGCATCTACTTTTTCATCTACAGCAGCTCCCTCGCCTTTACTTGGTTCATGCCCTCCTTCAACCATTTTTCCATCTTTATCTTGGAGTAAGCGATGAACAAAATTATCTCCAACATAATCCCAAACTCTGTTATTACCCAATTGCATAGCATAGCAATGATGGGTATCACGATAATGTTCGAATGCATGGCCTTGATGATAACGTGAGCAACCAATGTGACCACAAATTAAACAAATCCATAAAGCATCAGTAGTTGTACCTCCAGCTGAAAAACAATTAATTGCTAAATTAATATTAGCAACTTGTTAGTCACTATTCAACTGCCGAAATGTACGGATTATAAATAAGAAAACTTTGGCTACATGATTTTTTGATATCCATAATCACACTGTACATAGTTTAGGTACTTTTTAAGTAAATTTTAAAAATAATAGTGCTATCACAGGATCAATTACAAATAATTTAATGGACAAAATTGACGGAACAAATTTAAAGAAACAATAAACTATTTAAAACTCCTCCAAAAACTTAGTACGAAAAATTGACTATCACCGAAAAATATATAAAACCGTGAAAAAGCACAAATTCTTTTCAAGACCTGCCTGATGATACCAAATTTAACCATAAAAATTCCTTTAAAAATAATAATATGCTCGTCATAAAATTTTCCCTACTCTCTCAATTATTTAAATCATAAATTTTTGCCGTTGAAAAAATATCAAAACCAATTAACGATAATTAATGATTTACCCGTTAAAAAATTTTTCTTAGTCTCTTAATTATGTAAATTAATTTTTCACCTATAACCACATTGACATGTATAAAAAAAAGTAAATGACGTGTGTCGGGAAATTTGAATTCATTTAAAATTACTTCGAAAACTTATTCATAATTAATAAACTATTGCTGACAAGGATATGAAAGATTAAAAAAGTACAAATTCAGATTAAGACCTTTCCTATAATACTAAATTTAATTAAAAAACTCATTTTATCATCTAAATACGCAGGAGAAAAAAATTTTCCTTACTCTTAGCTTAATACTTTTCAGCTTGAACGAGCCTATAACCAAATAATATTGCCATTATAAAATTTTAGGAAAGAACATATCGGTGGAGTTAAGGTAAAGAACATGTTTTCTACTACCATTCTGTTGTTCTATTTTTTAAAATTTAATATAAACATTTTCTAGGAAGGAAAAAAGAAATTCGAAAAACAAATGGTTAAATTTTGTCAAAGCCAAGAACGCTATCTATGTCTTTCAATAAATAAGCAAGATAAGGTTCTTCAAGAGGTAATTGATGCTAAATTGAAAGTAGTATAATTGAAAAAAATTTTGATTTATAACAATGTTTACTGTTTTTCAGGCCGATGCAATGCTTGATATGGCTGAATGACATTTTTGTCAAGCTAGCTTAGAGTATGTTTTCTTGTTCGACCTTTTCTATGATACTAAATTTAATTTATAAAACTAATTTTATCATATAAATACGCCAGAGACAAAATTTTCCTTATTCTCTTAATTATATAGATAATGAATTTTAAATATAAATTATAATTAATTACCGCATTCCATACAATGACTATCTTCTAAAGGTTCGGGTGTTTGTGCATATCGACAGACAGGACAAGAAGTATCACCCCATTTAACTAGACAACTGGAATGAAACGTATGATTACACAATATCGTCAATATTCCGTCAACACTTTCGTCCATTCGTTCTAAGCAAACTGGACACGACGGCAGTTCTGTATGCCCTGACAATGACATTCCATTATCAGCCACTTCAACTCTTGAAACGAATACCATATGACATACAACATCTGGTTCAAGAGAGTTGTAAGGAGCACCGTTATACATTTCATAAAATTGACTGGCTGCAGTCTGAAAAAAAAATGGTCAAAAAATTATAAAAAAAAAAAAAATGATCCAAGTGTTACAATTAAATTTTTCTTCTAGCAGAACATAAAAAATGCTGTACTTCAGTATTTTATTATAAATAATATTGGTATGACTATGTTTTGACAGAGTATTCGAGGTAATTTTTTCTTGTATTGTAATTTTATTTTATTTGTTAGTAGTTGCTGATGTTTACGGATCAGTAAGATTATTGACTTTGTATTCTTGTATTTATATAATTTTTAAGTGATTGTATCAATTTGTCTGTTAAAACTAGATACCTGAGGATGTCGTAATAAAACCGACAAAACGTCATAAAACGAATAAATATGTTAAAACGTATTGATTGGTCTTTTCACCTGATTTCTTACTTCGTATTTATATCTCAAGTTTCATTATGAAAATAAAAAATATTACTTGCCGACGAACGCATAGTAATGAGAGCCATGTATTGATTCGGATTATTATCCTGTAAAATTCTAAAATGTTGAATATCCTGATGACAAGCGGCAGTGAATGTTAACAAGTCATGACATGTCATTGTAGCTGGTACTGACAAAATGCAAACTGTATGACTTCTATCAGCTGCATGGTGCATTTCCGTCAATTCACTAAAAATGTTTTAAATTTTATTTAAAAAAATTTTTTATCAACTAAAGAGTTTAAATAACTCACTCTTCTTTATATAAATGTAAAATCCCTTGAGTAACTTCAACATATCGATTGCCAGAGAAAAAATCAATTTGATTAGTTGATGAGAAAGATTGGGCTGGTGTTCCTTCTATTGTTCCATTGGATGACACTACGTTAATTGGATATGGTAATTCTTCAGAATTAGATTTTGACGTTGAGTTAGGTTTATTAGATCTTATTGGTAAAGAAGATAGTAATGAAACAGATCCTTCTGAAACATTTGGATATGTTTCAATAGTAATATTACGTGGTTCTCTTCGTCCGCGGATTTTTCTAGTAGCCATTTCACCTAAAATAAAAAAAATTTTTTTTTTTTGAATTAACATGTTATTTAAAAATCAGAATCTTAGATGTGACAAATTTTCATACAGGCAGATTCTTCGAGCTGAGTATTCACAACTTCTATCCGAATAACACAGAGAGATACCAAAGTCGGAGTAGACATCACAAATAATATGTCAAGTTTTGTAGCATTTTACAGATTGATTTTTGTGAGAAAGTTATCACTTATTAATTTTTATTTTTCTGATGATTTAAAATAATTAATACTAAAAATTAAATTTGTGTGTTAGATAATATCACAAAAATAATAAGTATATAGAACACTTACTCTGACAAAACAAAGCTAATAATGATAACAATAACAATGTTGTTTTGTAAAGGATCATCCACAAATAAAAAATAAACTGTCAATTTAGTATTAAGGCAACCATCACATTTCCCCTCTCCCCCCCCCCACTTTTTATTGTTTTCTTATATTGACAGCTAGGTAGAGCCACAGTTATTTAAATGGTGTTCCGAGGTTGAAAAAACAATCAGATCCAACCACGTTTGTAACTACTGTGACTACTCATGAAACTGATTAGCTGATAACATTATTATGTTATTCTAATCTAACTAATCTAACATTAGATTTAGAGTAACATTTATTTTTTATATTGTTACAGTGATAATAAATGAATATTTGCAGCAATTTAGATATAAAAAATGGATCAAGAAATAAGATTTAAAGTTCTTACACTTAACTGCTGGTAAGTATATTAAAATTAAATTTCATTGTATTTTTTCATCGTAGTTTAATAAATGATGATTATTATTATTATAACCTAGATTTGTTTGAAATTTAAGAGTATTAAAAATATTTAAAAATCGTACAAAAGTTAAAATAAAAAGGATTATCATTTTCTTAAAAATTTTTATAACAATGAAAGACATTTTATAAAAAAATAACACTTTTACTAAAATAGGATACATGTTACCAGATGTTCATTAACTTTGTTTTACAGGGGCATTCCATATATATCAAAGAATAAAAATGAAAGAATAAAGGCTATTGCTGAGCAATTGTCTTCGAACGACTATGATGTTGTTTGCCTTCAAGAAGTATGGTCTGCCAAGGATTATGATATGATAAAGAATAAAGTTAAAAAAAAATTGATATACTCTCATTATTTTTACAGGTATAGTTACAGTCTTTTATTGGCTATAGATAATAATTATTTTTAATTAATTATAAGATATTAATTACAGCGGTGTTCTTGGTTCAGGCATATGCGTTTTTTCAAAGTATCCAATTCAAGATGTGATGTTCTATCAATGGTCTTTGAACGGATATGTTCATAAAATTCATCATGGAGATTGGTTTGGAGGCAAAGGAGTTGGATTGTGCAGATTAAGGGTTATCGATGCGAATGTTAATGTTTACGTTGCTCATGTAAGATATTTATTTATTATTTTTATTATAATACTGAAATCAGCAGACGTTTAAAAATTTTTTTATTTTTGTCATTAATTAAATTAGAACAAAAAAAATTGTACTTATAATTTTTCGAATCTTCTATATGGAAAATTTTTCTTTTAATTTCAGTATTATAATTTTATTGCATATAAATTTTGCTTTAGCCAGAATTATTTATTTGTTAAAAATAAAAAAAATAAAAAAATTTAACAAACTTTTTTTTATCTAGTTACACGCCGAATATGATTGTGAAAACGACGAGTATTCAGCTCATCGAATTCTTCAGGCATTTGATACGGCACAGTTTATAAGAATGACTGAACAAGGAGCAGATGTTACGATTCTTGGTGGTGATCTTAACACCGGTCCAGATGATTTAGCTTACAGAATTATAAGTGGCGTTGCTTCCCTGACAGATTCTTGCTCAACTCATGGTAATAAGGGAACTAGTGAATGTGCCAATAATAGTTATACATGTCGTAAAGTTGCCAACAAATCACCTCAAGGAAAACGAATTGATCATATATTGTACTTAGGATCAAAAAACTTTAAGGTAACTATTGATACTTTTTTTTAACTAGTCCTAAAATTAAAGTAGTTCTTGTGATTAATGCATACCGTCAAAAAATTCTAAATTTTTGTATACTTGTTAAGGACATGATACAATTACCCTTAAAATTTGAAGTCGATTGAAGACCTATAACCCGAGATGAATTCAATTAAAAACTGGATATTTAACATTGATTGCATACGCTTTCTGCAATTCTGTACCAGTTTCTTAGTTATAAAAAAAAAAGCCCATTCAGCAGCCGAAATGGAAGTAGATTTCATGATGAATAAAATTAAAAACTACTAGGATTGAGTACAAAATAAATAAATAACGTTCAATAAAGAAAGAGAAGAATTATTGTACTTCAGTACTTTTCAGTCAGTATTGTATAGTATTGTATAGACAAAACCACTGCAAGAGTAAAATTTCTTAAAAATGATCCTAAGATGGATATTTTTTGCTTTAGAAAAAAATTTGAGCACACAAATTGAAGCTTAATTTCTCAGCTTTCAGATGCATTTAAGAGGAATCGAATAACTCGACGCGTTCAAAAATTATTTGAAGGAGAAGTAGAGACAGAATCAAATTTTCGAAATTTCAAAATTTTTAAATGCTGTAATTTCTAAACTATTTGACCGATTAAGCTCATATTTGAACTTGACCTTCCTAATAGTCGATAGAATAAATATGTTGAGTTTCATTGAGATCCCTTAAGAATTGTTGACGCTATCGTCGT